TGTAATTCCAGGGCTCTGGGAGGCCAAGCAGGAAGATTGGGACTTCGAGCCCAGCCCTGTCGGCTGAGCGACTCTGAGAAGCTGACTCAACGTAGAAATTGAGAAGGGCTGGCTGAGCTGCAGCTCCACACGGAGGCCCTGGTTTCCAACAGAATAGCTCCAAAGCGCGAATGGAGTGGCGATCAGTCCCCACTGGCACCGAGGGGACGCAGTCCATCCTTCCCTCGCCTGTGCAGTGACCCCTGGCCTCATGATGCCCTCCTGTGCCGTTTCCTGGGTGACAGCCGGCCAGGGGTCTCAGCCTGGGCAGTGAACACAGCCGGCTTCAATTAAGTTCTGCAGAGGCCACCAGGCCGTGGTGCCCTGCGTAACCTGGACGCAGGTGCTGGGGCCTGGGCCAGGGAGACACGGGGACCCAGGCAGCCGCAGAGGACCATGGGACTCTCGTTCTGATCTTGGCTCAATCACTGTGGTCCTCGGGCCAGGCATGACCCATTCCAGCCTCAGTTTCCCCATCTGTCAGTGTGGATGGCTGTAAGATTCCATGCTATGGCTGAGGCCTCACAGGGACCTGAAGTACCTGGAGGTGGCGATGGTGGCAGGGAGTCTCGAGTGTGGGTGGGGATGGCATCTAAACCTGTGGGTTCAGCCAGTTGTGGTGGCCCACGTCTGTAATCACAGCTGAGGGAAGCTGAGGCAGGAGGAGTCTCGAGTTTGAGTCCTGTCTCAAAGACTTAGGAAGTCTGAAAGGACACAGCAGGCTGGGGATGTAGCTCAGTGGTGGGAAGCCCTCAGATCACATCTCTGGTAATGCAGACGTGTGAGGGAGGAGCCGGGCCCGACCTCTGCCCTCTCCTCTGTCTGCAGACATCGGTGGCTTCTTTGAGCCTGGCACCTGGATGCGCTACAACCTGCAGTCCGCACTGCGTTCTGCCGCCCGCGAGTTCTCCCACATGCTGAGCCGCCCAGTGCCCGGCTATGAGCCTGGCTACGTCCCCGGCTATGACACCCCTGGCTATGTGCCAGGCTACCACGGCCCCGGCTACCGCCTGCCTGACTACCCGCGGCCTGGGCGGCCCGTGCCCGGGTACCGGGGCCCCGTGTACAATGTCACAGGCGAGGAGGTCTCCTTTAGCTTCAGCACCAGCACGGCGCCCGCGGTGCTGCTCTACGTCAGCTCCTTCGTGCGCGACTACCTAGCGGTGCTCATCAAGGAGGACGGTGCGTGCCCCACGCAGCTGTCCGTGGACCCACCGGGTTGTGCAGTCAGCGACACGGGCTTCTCTGCCCTCACAGGGACCCTGCAGCTGCGGTACCAGCTGGGCACCAGCCCCTACGTGTACCCACTGACCACCCGGCCGGTGACGGATGGGCAGCCGCACAGCGTCAACATCACCCGGGTCTACCGCAACCTCTTCATCCAGGCAGGGGCGCGGCCTACAGCCCTGCTGTACAGGCTGGGGGCTCGCATCCTTGCTTCACGAATCATTTTCCCAAGGTCAAACCGAGCCAAGTCACAAGGACAGGGCTCAAAACCACATTAACTTTTCCCCCACACTGGGACTGAACCCAGGCCTTCACACTGAACGCCATCTCCAGCCCTTTCTTCATTTTTTTATTTTGAGGCAGGGTCTCACTAAGTTACTAAGTTGCCCAAGCTGGGTTCAAACTTGCAGTCCTCCTGCCTCAGCCTCCCAGAGCACTGGGATTGATTTTTTTGTTTGTTTTTTTGAGACAGAGTCTTGCTTTGTAGTTCAGGTCAGCCCTAAACACACTGTGTAGCCCAGGTTGGCCTGGAACTCTCAGCGATCCTCCTGTCTCAGCCTCCCGAGTGCTGGGATGAGAGGTGTGCAACACCACCCTCAGCTGACAGGTTTTCTTCCCCTGGTACCAGGGATCAAACTTAGGACCTATCATTTGCAAAGCAGGTGCAGTGCCACTGAGCTAACATCCCCGGCCGGACAGTCAGGTTTTTGAGACACCCAGAGCTGCTGTGGGGCCCAGGAGCTCACCTGAGGGCCAGAGCGAGGGTTTGCCCTGAGGGCAGCTCCACCTGACCTCACCCCTCCCGCAGGTGGACTACTTCCCACTGACGGAGCAGAAGTTCTCACTTCTGGTGGACAGCCAGCTGGACTCGCCCAAGGCCTTGTACCTGGGGCGCGTGATGGGTGAGCTGTGAACCCTGGACCCGGAGTGGTGGGAGGGCGGCCGGGGAGCAGCGGGCCTGCGGACACAAGGGCCGTCTCTCGGGGCCAAGCTGCTCTTTCTGGGCCTACTGTCCCTCAGAGACGGGCGTCATCGACCCCGAGATCCAGCGCTACAACACCCCGGGCTTCTCGGGCTGCCTGTCCGGCGTTCGCTTCAACAACGTGGCTCCCCTCAAGGTCCACTTCCGCAGCCCACGGCCCATGACCGCTGAGCTGGCTGAGGCCCTGCGCGTGCAGGGAGAGCTGGCTGAGTCCAACTGCGGCGCCATGCCCCGCCTGGTGTCTGAGGTGCCCCCTGAGCTCGACCCCTGGTACCTGCCCCCAGGTGCGGCCTGGCCCAGCCCTGATGGATGTATGGACAGGGAGGAAGGGTGGCGGGAGGGCAGGGATGGCGCCTGTAACCATGCTTTCCCTCCAGACTTCCTGTACTACCATGACGACGGCTGGGTTGCCATCCTCTTAGGCTGTGAGTGGCACAGACCCCTGAAACCTGACCTGGACCCTGTCCCCGCCCCGGGATGCTGAAGGGTGGCGTGGGTACTCCGTGTGGCTGGTACTGGAGGCTGGGGAGGCTGTGGGGCGGGCTGGAGACGTTCCCTTTGGAGCTGTACTGTGTGTGGTCCCCGGGTTGTGCCCAGGGTTTGTGTGTGCTGGGTAAGTGCTGCGCCCCAGTGCTTCCCACCTGGAGACAGGATCTTGCTCAGTGATTCGGCCCAGACTTGAAATCCTCTTGCCTCAGCTGAGTAGCTGGGGTTACAAATGGGTCGCATTGCACCTGGCTAGATGCTTTCCATTTTGATTTGTTTTGTGAGACAGAGTTTCACTGCATCATCCAGGCTGCCCTGAACTGGCAGTCCTCCTGGCTCTGCCTCCCAAGTGCTGGGCCTGGCTTGCTGCACTCTTGTAACTGTAACATTAAAACGTAGCTTGGGCCAGGGATTTAGCTTAGTGGTTCCACTGCCTGCCTCACAAGCGCAAGAACCCAAGTTCGATCCCTGGTACCAAAAAAAAAAAAAAAAAAAAAAAAAAAAAATGTAGCTGTAGCTAAACAACGAGGAGATACAGGTACAGGGACATCGAGACACTGGGGTAACTACCAGGAATGTGAAAAGAGAACAAATGAACTAGAAGCTGTCCAGGGGATAAACCAGGAATTCAGGTGGCAGACACTCAGGGTGTGGCTGGCTGTGGGATGAGACTGGCACAGTTGTGCTAGCGCTTCTGGCTTGGGTTGCTATCTATGCGCATCTGAGAGAGACCCTGGCCTCCCTCTGAGCCACCCCTCTCTGAGCCACCCCTCTCCTCCGCAGTTCTGGTGGCTTTCCTGCTGCTGGGGCTGCTGGGGATGCTGGTGCTCTTCTACCTGCAGAACCATCGCTACAAGGGCTCCTACCACACCAATGAGCCCAAGGCTGCCCATGAGGACCAAGCGGGTGGCAAAGCACCCTTGCCTGCCTCGGGCCCCAGCCCAGCCCCTGCCCCCGCCCCAGCCCCTGAACCCCGGGACCAGAACCTGCCCCAGATCCTGGAGGAGTCCAGGTCGGAATGACCGGGGGCTTCAGGGACCAAGCCCACCTCGTCCAACCCAATGCCTGCCTCTCCCCACCCTCTGGGGCACTGGCTGCTCTGGGCCAGCCCTACCCACCCAGCAGGTGCCTCCTGCAGGCCGGCTTGGTGGGCAGAGCTACACATGGGACCAATGGGGGTGGCTGCGCCTCACTGCCGAGACCAGTGCCCTGCACTCCCCTGCGCTCCGTCCCAGCCCCGGCTGGGCTTCCTGCCAGCTGTCTGTGCCCTAACCGAGGCCCCAGTTCACCATCGGCAGAGCCGGTGTGAGGGGCTCTCCCACCCCGCAGGCTCTTACACCTGCATCCTCTGCAGGGCCCAGGGCTCCACCCCCCTCCCCACCCGCCCCTTTTCGTTTTGACAGCGAGACCGCAAGGCCTCTGCCTAGCACCTTAGAACCTCTGCTGCTTCACGCTTGAGCCAAAGCCATAGGAAACCCCGCAACGCCCAGAGAATCAATCGCAGACCCCCGCCTGGCAACGCATGGCCGCTGGCCCCAGCCCATGAGGCGCCCTCCCCGCTGGATGCTGCTCTCCATCTGCCTGGGGCCGCATTCTTTGTATTTATTTTTTGCTGCAAAGTCTGCCTAGAGAACTATATATCGCTCTAATTTTTTAATTGTTTATATAAAAGAGCAGCTCAGTGGGCTGCCTATGCCATGCCCTGCCGAGTTTGCTGAGCTCGACCTGGCTGGCCACTCGTGCCCCCGGTCTCCAATAAAGCAAGTGGCAGAGCCGTCTGTGTGTGGTGGCTGGCGCTGTGGTCACGAGACATGTGGGAGGCCATGAAGGGAACCAGCCAGGGCGCAGGAATTCCCGGTCCTTGTGCTGCCTGCCGGGGTCCAGGTCTGACCTGCTGAAGACACCACCTCCCTCCCAGCCCCAGCCCCCTGCATCCCAAAACACAGCACACACTGCCCAGGTGGCCAACACTTTATTAAGGAAGAGGTCACAAGCCACAGGACTGTAAAGTGCAAAAATCACTGGCGATGGCTGAAGCCGTGGGGCTGTGGGGGGAGAGGAGGCCTGGCCCCAAAGGGTGGGGACAGCAAGGACACAGGGCAGTGCTGGGGCACAGAGGCGGTGGCCTGGGCCGAGGGGGTTGGTCCAACATTGTTGGCAGCTAGAAAATCACATCTCACCTTCCTTGGGGGCCCTGCTCCCCGTGACTCAGGAGTCATTCAGAGCTGTCAGCTTGAGGGTCCCCAACTCACATGGCAGACCCCGAATCGCCCCAGAGGCGGGGCGTGCACGGGGCAGGGTGCATGTGCCCACTGGTGTGGGCTGTGCCTGTGTGCAGCCCATGCAGGACCCCAGAAGCCACCCAGCCTGGGGGACCCCATCTCCTCCACTGCCAGCCCGGCCTCCCAGGGAGGTGAATGCGGAGGCTGGGGCTCCGCCCTGCTCACCAGGAGCAGGGTCTGGGCGGGCCTCAGGCTCATACCACCAAGGAGTAAAGTGCTTTGCTCTGCGGGAGCTCTGCAGACAGTGGCAGCTGCTGCACCCAGCAGGGCGGATCCCCGTGGCCCAGGTGACCCACGGACAGTGCCACCCTCAACGTGAACGTGGGCATGTCTGGGAAGCCCACCAGCCGGCCACTCCAGACAGGAGCAGTGCAGCTCGCAGCGCCCGAGAGGCGAGCTGGAGCATGAAGGACAAGGGCCTCCCCGGAACATGGAGACAGTTTCCCAGCCACTTGCGTGTCAGCCCCAGGCCTAAGCTCGCAATGGAACTGCCATCACCTGGCTGGCTCTCCCTCTGTCCCCCTGCACCAGCCCTGCTGCCTGCCAGGCTCTGGGGACCGGGTCTCTGATGTGCCTGGCGTCCCATCAGCAAACCCAGCTGTGAGCTGAGGCCAGGTCACCAGGAGCAACCTGAGTGACTTGGCCATGGCCAGACCTGGGGACCGAGCACAGCCTGGGGCCGGCCTGTGCCCTCCTCCTGAGCCTAGATACGGCACGGCCTCCAGAAGCTGCTGCCCCGGTGGCCTAGCCCTGCCGCCTGTGCCCCTCGTGAGATGGGGGTGTCCCGAGCATGCAGCTGTGGCCTCGCTGCAGAGGGGGTGGGGCTCTTGGTGTGGAAGACACAGTGCGGGACCCGGCGGCGGTGGCGTGCGTGAAGCAGGGACGGTGCCGCGGCATGGACAGCACAGCTACAGGACGTCAGTCTCCCGCTCAATCCCCACGTACTTGAGGGCGTCGGCTTGGCTGTATCTGTCCAGTGGGAGAAACCAATTGCCTCCAGGCTCTGGGGGCTGAGGAGCGGGGACCCTGCCACCCCTCCTAGCTGCAGTCCCAGGCTGCGTCCATGGCCGCTCCAGGACCACCCCGACCCACCGCTCACCTGTAGTCAAAGAACAGCTCCTCGCCAGCCTGGATGGCCCTCTTGGCGAAGATCCCGATGCGGTGGTCTCCGTTCACCATGACCACTACAATGCGGAAGAGCCCAGGCGGCCCAGGTCACTGCGGGGACAGGCCGGCCGCTCCTGGGGTCATGGGACCTGGAGGACGGCTGAGGCAGGCCGCTAGCTGGCTGTGTGGGGGGACTGAACCCAGGGCCTCGCACACACGGGGCAAGCACTCTCTGCTGAGCTATCAGACTCATCTGCGGGAGAACGACGCCAGTGCAGCTGGTGGCAACAGCAGGTCATAAAACCGAGAGGCCCCAGGGCCGGGATGTGGCTCAGTGGCCCCACACCTGCCCGGTAAGCACAAGGTCCTCAGTTTGATCCCTGGTACCAAAAGAATAAAAACAAAAAACCAAAAACCAAGAGGCCTAAAATGACCCTAGACATCAATCGTGATTATTCTTGGGTAAAAGAACTCAGTGATGAATAGGCTGAACTCAACAGTGGAGAACGCAGCAGGGAGCCCACCTTTGGCGTAACAGTTGGGGTTCACTGAGTGGTTTGCAAATCGAATTTTGTTCCCTTTCCGGGTAGCATCCACAACGAAATCTGCAGAGGGGACGAAGACAGCCGTGAGCATCCCCTGAAGCACCAGCCGCATTCAGACCTGAAAGGTGGGCAGAGGACTGTGGACACCCAGCGCCTGGGCGGGCCTCCCTGTGTCTCCCCTTTTGCCAGTGTTATGGACACCCCCTGCCCATCTGTTGGCGGGAAGCCCTGTACCCCCATCTGCCAGGGAGGCCGCCCACCCCAGCGCACCGTTGTTGAGGTTGAAGAGGAAGCTGGACATGTATTTGTCGTAGACCTTCCCTCGCCGGTCGGCCTCATCCTGGGAGATGAGCTGGGGACAGAGCAGGGATGGGTGAGGGGTAGCTACGCCACCATCCCACCCACTGCGCGCTTGCGAGTGGACAGTGGCCTGGCCTTGCGTCCGGGCCCTGCACCCACCTCACCGCAGTACTCAGAGATGAACTCGTTCTTCTGCACCGACTCCTTGATGAAGGTGCCCCAGCCGGCCACGTCCGAGGGGGCCAGCAGCAGGTGCTGGGGGACAAGGCAGAGCTCAGTGGGGCGGGCGGGCAGGAGGGTGTGCAGGGTGGGGAGAGGAGCCGGCGCACCTTCTTGAGGCCGCGCTGGATGCTGCAGTTCTTGCAGGACACCACCTTGCAGTCCCAGTGCTCCGAGGCCCCGCAGGTGAGGCACAGGTCAGGGTCGCACTCGCGCACAGCCAGGTAGCAGGGGCACTGCTTGGTGTTGCACTGGGTCTTGCAGCGGCAGCCGGGGAAGCGGTTCTGGCCTGGGTGGGGAGACCAGCAGGTTAGGGGGCAACACAGGACCACGTGGTCCAGGCCAGACTCTGGGCCACCCAAAGGGCAGCTCCGGAGCCTCTGACCCCTGACACTCAGCTCCAGCTCACTCCTGTGAGTCACCAAAGCAGGCGTGATCAGCAAGGGACGGAGGAGACCCGGGCACCACTGCCTTGGGGGGCTGGGAGGAGGCGGGCAGAGCCGAGGAGAAGAGGAAATCAGTTCTCCTCTCTGTGGAGTCCGCCCTCAAAACAAGTGTCATTCTGAGAGGGCCAGGCATCCGCTCCAGCGGCCCCTCCGCCCACGGGCACCAGCACCGCCGCTGTGGCTAGATCATATCTGCCTGTCCCCTCCTGCAAGCCCTGGCTGCCGCCACCCTCCCTGCTCCAGGACGGGAAAGGGGGAGGGAGAGCCACCCTCAGCCTCTGCTGACTGCCAGGTCCCCATCTCCCACCCGGTATTCAAACTCTAACTATTAAAGAAAAAAGACACATACAGGATTGTGACCATAACATTTCAAATTTTAAAAAAATTTTAAATTCATTTAGACTAATCTTGAATTCTCAGGCTCAAGTGATCTTCCACCCTCAGCCTCCTGAGGGCTGAGACTACAGGTGTGCCGCCAGGCCTAACTAAAGGAAACTTTCAAACAATTTCCTGAAAAGGGAAACTGACTGCATCTTGAGGAACAAAAATTCCCTGGCCTCTCTGTTCCCCGAGAGAGCCTGGAAGCATTGCGTTTCTGTCCAACCGCTGCTTTCAGAACCATCGAACCAAGGGCTTTTAAAAGCTACAGAGCCAGGCAACACCTGCAGCCACAGCTCCTCAGGAGGCTGCAGCAGGAGGTCTGCTGGAGCCCCGGGACTCGGGCCGGCCTAGACGCACAGAGAGACGCCTGTTTTGTTGTTAATTTTTTGTTTGTTGTTTTGAAACAGAGTTTATATAGTTCAGGCTGCCCTGAGTGGCCCTGAACTACTGGCGATCCTCCTGCCTCAGCCTCCCCAGTGCTACGATTATAGGTGTGTGCCATCACTCCTGGCTCTGCCTGGCTCTTTAAAAGAGCAAAATACCAAACAACAACATAACACCAAAAACCCAAAACTTTTGCAAATTTGCAGCAGTTTCTTGGCTACAGTGCCAACCACAGCTACTGTATGGAGGGTGGGCAGCGAAGTGGGCAGGTGGGAGGGCGCCCGGGCTCTTACAGTCCGGGTTGCACTGGCAGAACTTCTCACAGAAATTCTGGGTCATGATGCAGGGGCAGGTGCTGTCGCAGGGCCGGTCTGGGTGGTCGCAGGGCTGGTAGTTGTACACTTGTGTGGCGCTGTTGTCTAGGAGAGGCAGAAGGAGCTGCCTGGGGGCACCGGGCAGGCAGCTCCCGACCCTAGTCCAACCCCCGACCCCCTGCGGCCCTGCCTGGGTCTGCACGCAGTGCTCTACCTGGAAAGCCACAGACCAGCGGCCTGGGCTGCTTCCGCTGGCTCCACCCCGGGCGGCAGCAGCTCAGCTGTGCTGTCTGCGGCACAGGGACCAGGAGCCTGCAGAGCTTCCAGGTTGCCCGGCCCGGCTGGCTACACGGGCAGGGGATGGCACAGCCGGCCGGGGTGCCCCGCTGGAACCTACCTTTGGTTCTTTCTTTATGATGGTGGGGTGGAGCACAGGCCTTGCCTGTGCTGAGCACGGCCTGACCTCGAGCCACACGCATAGTAGCACTCACCTTTCTTCAGCTGGATTTTCCTGCAGTGTGCGGCCCACAACCTGAGGGAGAAGGAAGGTCTGCCCAGCCCTCAGGCCCACACACGCAGGCCCTGCTGTGCCCCAACAGGGCCCCCACCGTACGGACACCAGAGCCCACCCTAAGTCCAGCTGCTGGCTTGCGCCAGATTTACGCTAAGCCCCTCCCACGTGCACACCCATTAAAGACCAAAGGCACAAAGAGAAGCCCAAGCCCACATGTGGTTTGTTTTCTCTGTGGTACTAGGGGTTGAACCCAGGGCCTCTGCACTGAGCAAAACTCCCAGCCCTTTCTCATATTGAAGTAGGGTCTCACTATGTCACTAAACTGCCCAAGCTGGGCTAAAAGGAGTGACCCTCCTGCTTCAGCCTCCCAGAGTGCTGGGATTACAAGCATGCCACCACACCAGGCCTATTACAGTGCTACTGTTTCTTTCCCTGTCTTTCAGAGGAGATTCGGGGGGGGGTCACAAGGTGAAGGAATTGAAGGGGCACCACACCCAGGAGCGGTGTGACTCCCTGCCATGGGTGACAGTCATCAGGGAACCAGGCTGGTGGCAGGGTGCTGTCATTACTTAGCTCAGACCAGCGCAGGGCACAGGAAGTAAGTAAACCACTGAGACGTGGCCTTGGCACGGCGAGGCCTGGAGTGGGAAGCGGACAGTGGTCTCTGGGTCCACGGCTGGAGCCGGCCCCAGGCACAGACCCTAGGCACCAAGCGCCGCACTGTCTCTCTGGATGCCAGGCGGACACTGCCTGGCCCAGAGCAATGGCCAGGAGGATGGAGGCATGGGCTGGGGCCCACAGGACACCAGCCGGAGGGAGGCCCTGCCACCCGAGCTTACCTGTGCTTCCTCTTCTTCTTCTGGGAGGGGTTCATGAGCTCGTCAGTGGGCAGCTTCAGGATGAGCGATTCTTTGACCGCAAACTGGAAGACCTGGTAGAGAAGTGGTGGAATGGGCACTTTTCACAGCCGGCTCAGCCTGTGGCCCGGGGCTCCGGCTGTGATGAAACCTCCTGTTCCCTGGCCAAGGAGGGGACATGTGGGGCACAGGTGGCCCCTGCTCCCACAGAACAGGACTCTCCTGGCGCAGGGGACCAAGGGGTCCCGAGCCAAAGCCCGAGGTCCTAGGCTGAGCCACAGCGCCCTCTGCTGGAGCAACAGCACACCCTCTCCTGTCTCCTCCCTCCCAGTGGTCCTGGAGACCAAACCCAGCTCCCCCACTGAGTTGCCGCTCCAACCCTTTTTATTTTCAGACCAGGTCACGCCAACTTGCCCAGCTGGCCTTGAACTGCAAGCCTCCTGCCTACAGCTTCCTGAGTAGCTGGGATTATAGGTGTAAGCAAGGAAGAGGGTCTGCGCTCCACATGGAGAGCAAAGGCACGCGCGCCCCCTAATGGCTCTGAGTAGAAACGCTGCTTCCAAAACAGACCTAAGGCCAGGCTGGTGACACAGTCTGCTGCCAAGCAAGCCCACGGAGGCATCCCCAGAAGTCAGGGCCCAGCCCTGGGGCTCCCCAGGGTCCCTTCCTGGCATAGGGTGAAGGTTCAGAAAGGAAGTCGAAGACACAGAGAGCATCACAGGGGTGTAGGCCTGCCCTGAAGGCCGATGAGAGAGCCAGAGCCAGAGCCAGGCCGGGCGGCTGGGCCCCGGGGCCTGACTCCCAGCCTGCCCCGACCAGGAGGGGACAGGAAGGGGCCAGCACCTGCTTGCACGTCTTTGTGCCCAGCAGCCGGGCGATGGAGCAGAAGTTGTTGAAGTAGGTGCCGTGGAATACGCGGAACAGAGACTCTTCAGCCCCGGTCCACTCCACGGGCTCGGATGGGGCCTCCACGACGCAGAGCTGGGGTGGCGCGGGGCTGGGCTTCTGCTTCGTCGGGGTCTGGCAGCGGGAGTTGGCCTCTGGGAGGGACAGGCAGAGAGAAGAGTGTGGGTGCAGCTGTGAGCAGCGGCTGTTACCAAGCAGAAGCACCTCGATTCCATGCCATGAGGCAGAAGAGTCGAGAATGCAAACCCTCCCCATCCCCACTGCCTACAGGGGACTTGTGAAGAGAACTAACAATTTCTTTTTTCTTTTTGAGACAGGGTGTCGCTGTGTAGTTCAGGCCACCTTGAACTCACTACGGAGCCCAGGCTGGCTTCATACTCGTGGCAATCCTCCTGCCCCAGCCTCTCATGACAGGACTACAGGTGTGTGCCACCTCAACTATCGATTTTAAAAAGTTAGAGGGGCAGGGATTTGGCTCAGTGACACCGTGCCTGCCTCGCAAGCACAAAGTCCTGAGTTCCATTCCCTGTACCAAGATAAATAAATAAATGAAAATAAAAATAGATAAAAAGGTAGAGATGTTCAGAGTCAGCCAGTGGTCCGGGGTCTCCTGAGTGCGAGCTTCGTTAGGCCTGCCGTACCCGAAGAACTGGAGGCCCAGTCGTTGCCTGTGTCCCTGTCACTGTCCGCTTCTCTCGTGTCGGCCACAGAGGAGGTGGACGTGTTGGGGCAGGAGGCGCTGACCGCGTGGTGCCTTCGCCGCCGTCTCCCGGAGCATTTGGAGCGAGGGTTGTGCAGCATGGCGTACTCCTTGGCACCCTCCTGGAAGACAGCACAACACCAGGCCACGTGTGCTGGGGATGCGATCCGGTTACAGGGGCCGCCTGCACGCAGAGCCTCCTCCCTCGGGGACAGCACGACAATCGTTCAGCTCACAGGCGGACACTGCCACCGAGGGCTGCCCGCGGCCCCGAGACAGACTTAGCTCTGCCCCGCGTGTTTCCAAGCAGCCTGGGCAGCACCGAGGCCCCTGCACCCTGCGCAGTGTGGTCCGGAGTCAGCGCTGAAGGAGGAGGCACAGAGGCCAGCGAGGGGCCTTCTGGACCCAGCCTCTCCCGGAGCTGCACCCTCTCTCTTTCTGTTTAGTTTAGCTAGGATCAGTGTATTGTAGAAGAGACACGGAAATGACTTGCGCCATCAGAGACTGTAGAACTTCCGTGCGATGGGCAGCATCGTGATTTACTTCGCTCTACATTTTTTCCAAGAATGTCGCCATCTCTAAGTAAGAAATAATCCTTGTCATCTAGAACTTCGTTGGTGCCTCTGTATTCCGAAAGGAGAACTTTATCTCCAACTTTCACACTCACTGGCTGAATTCCTCCACCCTCGCTGAGAGCTGGACCCTGTGGCCACCACAGCTGCCTACAGTGCTTTGCCCTGAGGTTTTTTTCAGGGAACATAACGGGCCTTTTACAGGCTGCGCTCCTCCAAACAATGCTCAGCCACCCAGCGGGAGGAGCTTCCTCAAGGTCCTGCCATGGCTCAGGGCCACACCTCACATTCAGCCGTCTGGTTAGGCAGCAAAGAGAAACCTGCAGCCTCACTGCTTTGAAGCAAAGTTTTTTTGGTACCGGGTATCAAACTCAGGACCTTGCACTTGCAAGGCAGGTGCGGAGCCTCTGAGCTAAATCCCTGGCCTTAAAACACACCGTGAACAGTCTCAGCATTTAGAAATCACAGGGGCTGGGGCTGGGGCTGGCCTTGGGCTCTCTGGCTCGGCCTCCCAGGCTGCTGCTCTGCACTCTCCTGCTGGGCCTTCATTTCCGGGACAGATGTGTGACCCCTCAACATCTGCACTCCAGCCCGAAGCCTGTCTACCCACAAACGCAGAAGGACACTGTCCCGATACTCTACAGCTGTGTCTTTTTTTAAACAGCCAAACTCAGCTTGAGCCCTAAGCCCCTTTTGCTGGCCTGGGTCCCACAGACTCCCATTTCTGAAAACGGAGTCACTTGCCAGGAACAACGGTTCCCTATCACTGCAGGTGTTCAGTGCTCGAGGAAGAGGAGCTCTGATGTGAACTGGACCCAAAAGCATGACCCTCTGCTCCAGCAGGAAACACAGAATCTCAAGTGTCCCTTACCAAAATGTTTACCACAGATAAAAACCAAGCCTCCAGAGCTAACTTCTACGTTATGGGAAATAGGGAATACCCTGAAGAAAATAAACACAAATCTAGAACGCAGCCAGGTGTAGTGGCACGCACCTGTCATCCTAGCACTTGAGAGGCTGAGGCAGGAGGAGCGCTGCAAGCTCCAGGCCAGCCTTGGCTATGCAGTGAGTTCAAGGCCAGCCTCAACCACATAGCAAACCCCTGCCTCAAAAACCAAAACAAACTTAAAAAATGTGGACTATCCCACAGGCAACTACCCTGGAACTATCAAGAAGAGGGAAAAAGAAAAAAAGAAACAAACAAAAAAAAAAAAAAGGAAAAAAAGTGGGCTGACTGGAGATTAAAAACATGGATGCACACTTGTAAGAGGCAGGAGGATCACAAGTTCAAGCCCAGCCTGGGCAACTTAGGGGATTCACACAACACTTAGACCCTGTTTGCTTTTTGTTTTTTAAAAAGGGCTGGCCTAACGTGGCTCAGTGCAAAGGCCCTGGGATCCAACCTCCATGCTAGGAAAAGCAAATTCTTAGCAAAATGGGGGACATAGGTTTCTCTTCTGATCGCAGAGATCTCGGCCTTTTACGAAAGGCTTCTGTGGAAAGGAACAGCTGAGCTTTCCACTAACGCTTCGAAGCCGAGCTATGGCAGTGCCACCATCTTGTTATCAAAGGCGTCGCCTTTACAAAAAGCCAGGCCGGGGAAGCAGGCAGTCACGCCCGGATGTGTGCTCACGTCTTAGACGCAGCGCAGAAGCAGGAGAAGGCGCACGCCAGGTGTGGACAGTGTGCTTCACGCTGCGTTCAGGGTCACAATGGTGCCTTGGACATCACGCTGATGTGAGGCACTGCTGCGCTGCGGCCTCACAGAGTAAATGCAGGCTGTGGAGCTGGACGGGCCGACCACAGAGCCTGGCTCTCTTCCTGCATCCTGGGCAATGCGCTCAGGTGCTCTTCCCGAGCCACACCCAGCTCTTTATCCGTCACTCTGGGACAGGGACTCCCATGAAGCTGCCTCAGCCTCCTGTGCACTCGGCTACCACCGACTTATTAACAAACTCTGGCTCGTACTTTTATAAGCCCAGTCTCTACCTCAGGGAAACACTGCAAGGGTGAACCGCTCAGGACCTTGCCACACAGCACAAGTCACATGGCAGGAACAAATAAACTGGATAAAGTTGGTTTGTTCTGTTTATTCTTCTGCTGTCATACACAGTCCATTTTCCAGGTGCACACCAAAGAGCATGCTCTACACCCTTCCCTTCTATGATCCGCTAAGGGTGCAGCCCAAAGGTACTGAGCTGTGCAATCTAACTGACGGCAGACACACCACCAAGGTGTTTTATTCTCCACCAAAGCTCAACTGACTGTGCAGGAAACCACAAGGGGCCCAGCAGGCCCGAGCAGTTCCTTCCGGCTCTGGGTGCACCGGCCCCCACCACACAGGACAATCTGTACAGAGGCTGGCAGGCGAGACATTGGGGAGCTCTCTGTCCTGCTGCTACGTCACATGCACATAAAGGAAGCCGGGAGAAGACACAGGGTGCACAAGGCCAACACCCCACGCTCTGCTCCACTTCTTTGAGCTGGGGCTCGAACCTGGGCCTTGGATAGTGCTAGGCGGGTGCTTTTCCACCGGGCCACATCCCCAGCCTGCTCAGCAATACAGTTCAGACTCTGAACATCTCGGCTGATGACCAAATCTCACACCAACATGGCAATCGGGTCGGACGGCCTCCCAGGGTGGCTGAGTCCAGGGAGCAGCAGGAGCCGGAGGCTGTGTCCGCTCACCTGGCTCTCGCATTCCCAGGGACAGGAAGCTCAAGGGCCTTTTCCGGTTCTGGCTCAGGTTTAAGCTGTTAAAGCCGGAACAGCGGAAGAACCTACCAGCAGAAGGAAGCAGTCGGAGCCACAGGGTTCTGGCTCGATCTTGATTTCTCTGTTCTTCCGTTTATACACGTTGGGGGTGGCATGAAAAGCTGCAAGAGAACTGCAGTGTGTGTGGGGTCTATCACGGGGCAAGATAGGGCCACGCAGGGCCCACGCGAGCCGGCCATCCCAACACGCCCTCCGCCCAGTAGGTGCCCAGGGACAGTCACGCAGCGAGGCCAAACCCGGTGGATGCAGGGCGGGGCAGGAGGCGGCCCGGCCGGAGCAGCCACTCACGGTGCAGGAAGCAGTCGTACTTGAAGCAGCGGCGGCAGAAGAGTGTGTGGAAGGAGTGCAGGGACTGCTCGCGCTGCACAGACCTGGCATTGGGGCCATCGATGTTGGGTGTGCACTGTGGGGGGAGGGCGTTGGGGTCTGACATCTCCGTCAGCTCCCGGTACCTGAAGGAGAAAAGGCAGGGAAACATCCCTCGGCATCTCTCAGGGCTCCGATCCCGATCGGGACAGACAGCCGCCAGGCGTGCTCGGAAATGGGGATGGGCTGCCAGGGCTGAGGAAATTGGGACCAGATGGACGGACTGAGGGATGGATGGACAGATGCCCTCCCAGCGCAGAGCCAGCGCTTGTCAGGAAGGAAGGGGAGGGAGGAGCCACAAGGGCGCTGCTTGGGGGTCGGTGAGCGCTCTCTGCCCAGACACTGGGGACCCTCCCTGTAGCACTTCAAGGGAAGCAACAGACAGCAGCAGCAGGCAATGGCTCCCCCGGCCCCACTGTGCAGCGGCCCACCTCTCCTTCATGTCATCGGGGACACCGCTCTCCGGAAACATCGAGGCGATGGCACTGAAGATCATGTCATTGGGGAACTGCTTCTTGGAACTCTTTTTGTTGCCTGAATGGGAAATGATTAGGAAACAAACCTTTCTGAGTACCATTATCAGGGCATGGGAACAAAGCAGTCTCACCTTTTTCCTTTGTCATAGCAATTTCTTTTGTGTTTTTTTCCTTCTGGAACTGGGGATTGAATGCAGGGCTCCCACACTGGGCTGCATCCCCAGCTCTTTTTAAAATTTCTGAGACAGGATCTCAGTAAGTTGCCCAGGCTGGGTATGAATTTTTGATCCGCCTGCCTCAGCCTCCCGAGTGCTAGAAATACAGGCTGTGCTACCATGCCCGGCTTGTCATGGCAATTTTAATGAGAGTTGCTCTGTTTGCCTAACCCCTGACCACATACTGACAAGAAAATCCACAGCCCCCATCGGAATCTGGAGGAGAAAGGAGTTTTCAAAGAGAGACCTGGATGTAGAAGAATCCTGAAACCACGCTGCTGCTGAAAGACAACACTGACACCGCGACATGACAGAAAGAGGGACAGAGTCCCTGGACGTGCATGAGGTAACACATGCATACTTAGGCAATTAGGGCCAGAGATGTGGCTCAGTGGCACTGTGACTATCTGGCAAGCGCAAGGTCCCGAGTTCCATCCCCAGTACAAAAAAAAAAAAAAAAAAAAAAAGTGTCATAATTAGGCAATTGAGCATTAGTATTAGTAACATGGAAAAATGCTCATGATTCAAGATTAGATAAAGAGATAAAATTTCGTACACACACAGCACTGTTACACATAATATATAAAAATGTGCAGGCTGGGGATTCAGCTCAGCAGCACCATACCTGCCTCACAAGTGCAAGGTCCTGAGTTCGATTGCCAATATGAGAAGGAAAAAAAAAAGTTTGTTCATGTACATTTTTAAGTCTAGAAGCAAAGGTTTTCCAAACACTGCCCACATAATTAGAAATGGGCAAGTGCTCAAGTCATTCTTTGTCCTCTGGGCCACGGCCACTGAAGCTCCCTGGACCACTGAGAAGCACACAGGGCCTTTGGCAAGCACAGCCCTTTCCTCCCTGTCCCTGTCCCTTTCAAAACAGAACACGGGAAGCCGGGCACGGTGGCGAGCAGCTGGGAGCCCAGCCGGTGGAGGCGAGGCCAGCCTGAGCTCCACAGCGAGACACCATCTCGAATTAAAAGCCAAGGGACCTAAAGGTACGAGAGCCCAATGACGAATGCAACTGTGCTGTATACCTAAAATGGACCAATAAACACAGTGAGAGAAAAAAAATGTTTTGATGGGAAAGCAAGGCCAAGGGACCCTGGGAGGGAGCTGCGCACCCTCCACAGCATGGCGCTTTCTCTTCCGGGTCACTGGCAGGTCCTCCTGGCCATCGCCCTGCTTTCCGTCAGTGGCGTCATTGTGCCCTTCCTCCTCCTCATCGGAGTGTTGATTCAGGGCATCTACCAGCTCCAGGAAGACGGCGTCGCTGATGAGGACGGATCCAGGGATCATGTCTGAAAGCGAGCAGGAGCAGGGCTGAGCAGGACCGCCCCTCGGTCGGTGCAGCTGGGTGCTCTCCTGTGCCCTTGGGCCTGCGGTCCCCGGTTCAGCTGGCCGGGTGGGAAACTGGCCACCGGCCTCGCTCTTACTGGAATTTTTCACTCCGCAGGCACAGGTCAACCCAGGTTATGGTCCCAAATCTCAGGATTGTGTACCCAGGCATCACAAACACAGCAGGAAAGGAATAATGAATGAACATCTGCTTGGGTTTGCTGCTGACAGATTCACGGTGACTTTTCTAATTCAAAATACTGCCTTTTGTTTTTGAAAGAGCCTTGCTGTGTACCCCAGGCTGGCCTCAAACTTGTGATGACCCTCCTGTCTCAGCCTCCCGAGTGCTGGGAATACAGCCATGCACCACCACACTGGGCAAGATGCAGCATTTGTTTCCTAGTCATGCTCCACAGGGCTGTGCTGCAGCCTGGGAGCATCTGAGCACTAGGGGGCACCATGGAGCGAGGGTTTGCACACAGATCCTGGGGTTCTCGTTCCTTTCCTGCGTCTCTCTTGGCGACAACCTTTTCTAGAACTTAGATGGGAGTCCCCATGGCTGCCCTTCAGGAGATGAGGCTACCGAAGCCCACTTCTGGGGCAGCTTGAGGCTCCTGGGTGGGGGCAGCCACTTCCTGTTTCCCAGGGGGAATGGACCAGGGGTGAGATGGATGCGGGGCTCTCCCAGGTGAGACCCCTCTCAGCTACTGATTTCTACCAAACCCTGGGGCCGGTTCCTTCTTCGGTGTCACGGGGATGCTTTTAACACGAAGCTGGGTAGCCCACTGAAAAGGTTCTTGGTGCCCAGGACCAAGGCTGTACCCACCTTCCTCGCCATGGACTTTGCCATCGTAGTTGTTGATCAGCTCCTCAATGAATGTTTCGTCTTCTTCCTTCACCTCGTCCCCCATGTAGGGAATATTGCACAGAACCGTCTCATCTTCCACCTGAAACCAGGCCGCCCCATGTCACCCTGGGAACAAGGGTCCTGGCTCTCCCAACCCAACAGCCTGCGGCGGAGCCCTTCCCGCTTCTGAGTCCCCTGCAGGTCCCTTGGTAGCAGAGTTCCCTGCATTTTAAGGACTGGCCCTTCTCTTTTGCCAAAGCCTCAAGCGGAAGGGGCCAACCACTGCTCTTCCTGGGCTGGGAAGGACTTGGAGTAGGTGCCCACCCGACAGCACGGGGGCCTCACTGCCCTATCTCCTCATCCTACCCACTGAGCATCCTGCTGACACAGGCGCGAACAACATTTCCGGAGGCCAAGAGACAAGGGAGCCCTCCCAGGGGGTGATTTTAACAGCGAGAAAAGAAACCGTCCACAGAGTCTGGGTCATCTCTAAAACAGAGCAACTTCCTGTAACAGCAGTAGACCTCGACTCAGCCCAGCCACACGGCAGGACGGGCGTCTGCTCCGTGCGGGCTGCGGACACTTTCCAGCAATAAGCACTGAAGGAGCGGGTGGGCGCGCGTCGGGAGCGGTCACTGTCTCCTCCTTCGTCACTTCTCCTTCCCTCCCCAGGGCCTCAGACCCGCCAAGCACACGCTTCGCCGTGCAGCTCTGGCCCAGGACAAGACTCCCTCCGTTCTGCAGCCCCAGCGGGGTGAGTGGGACGGCGTCGAAGCTGTGTGCTAGGAGGACTCGCTTCTGCAGACCCAGAGCCACCTCGGGCTGCTGCTGTCACCACGCGGGTGACGGTGACAGCGGGGTGGACAGGCTGAGGCTCACAGCGAATGGCCCAGCCGGAGGGTGGCAACCTGGGCCTGCACACAGCCCGGCCCCGGCAGCAGGGGGACCGAGTCTCGCCCAACTGATTCGTTCCCAGTAGAGCCAAGGTCAGCCCATCAGAGAGCACTGGAGTCCGCATTAGACCCCGCCAGTGGTCACGCTCAGCTAAGTCCACCAACAACCTCTGCCCCAGGAGCCCCAAGCCGTGTGTGCGCGATGGCCACGGGCCATACACACCATGAAGTTCTGCTGCAGCGGCGACCAGGAGTACATGATGGGCACCAGCGCCACGGTGTTCAGGGAGCGCATCAGCATGTGCTGGCTGGCGAAGCCCGGGAAGAGGCTCTCGATGGTGCACTGCAGCCGTGGGGTGGGGGAGAGGAGCGCTGTCTGTGCCACCGCTGCTTCCCGCCTGCCCTAGCCACGCCGAGGGACACTGAGGCCTCGCCCAGCCCTGTCCGGAGGACCTCAAGACCAGGGACTTCGACCTGGCTGCGTGGGGGATGGGGCCACTCTACGGGGAAGCGTCGTAGAATAGAAGCCCCACCCTGCCTCGGGAAAGGTAGCTGCCCTCATTGCCCCACGTTTTCTGTTTTAAAAAAGGATCTCTTTAAGAGACTAGAATGTTCTTGTTAAACTTACAATTCAAGCTGGATATGGTGGTGCATGCCTGTAATCCCAGCACTCTGGGAGGCTGAAATAGGAGGATCTATAGTGCAAGCCTAGCAGGAGCAATATAGCAACTTTGCAAAACCCTGTCTCAGAATTTTAAAAAAGGGGGAGAGGTTGGGATGTTGCTCAGTGTGAAGGCCCTGGGTTCAATCCCTGATATCACAAAACAAAAAAAATTACCATTCAATTTTAAAAATGAATACACAATAAAGAAGGTCTCTCTGGGCAAATACCCTTTTAACCAAGGCAGTCCTTTTCTGTGTTAAAGCACTTAAGGAGCTGGGTGCAGTAGTATGGCGGTACATGCTTGTACTCAGGAGGCTGAGGCAGGAGGATCATCATGAATTCAAGGCTAGTCTGAACTACATAGTGAGACATTAGCTCAAAAAAAAAACCAAAGTAAGGCATCAGACAAGGGCCAAAAATGGTTGTTTTGGAGCTTACACACAGCCCAGAGAGGAGAATCGTAACTGTCTCAATTTTCTATGACAGTCTTGATCACACACGCTGTTGCCTGAGAATAGGGGTGAAAAGCTTACTCCTAAGGTTTCCTCCCCTCCTTATCTCAAGCTGACCGAAACAGCTGGACAGGCCGTCGTCCTCACCTGCTTCCTCCCACCCGCCAGGCAGGCGAGCCCCCGCGCCGTGCCCCGGAAGTACCTTTCTGAGGAAAGGGTGCCCGCTCACGGGCTTCATCGGCTGCACAGGCTGGACACGGCGTTGCTTCCATTCTTCATTGAGGATCTGGGTTTTTTCTTGAACTTTGGCAAAATTTGCCACATACAGAGCCTAGCGGAGCCAAGGAGAACTGTTAAAATTTCAAAACAAGAGGAAAAATGCAACAAAACACCCTGCCTCTCTGCGGTGGAGAAACTCTGAACTGGCAGCCTCTCCCTGGGGCGCTCCTGACCTTGGCCCCCATGTTCGCCTGCAGCCGCCTGAGCTGTCGAAGCCGCATATATTCGGATTTCACTTTTCTTTTCCAGTAGGTGATACACTTGGATGTGGGGGGATCCGGAACATCCATCGTGCTGAGATCTAAGAGGGACAGAGAAGGTGCACTCTGCCTGGAGATGAAGCCTTCCTTAAAGGCATATAAACATAGTCAAAAGCCGGGCGTGGTGGCGCACGCCTGTCATCCCAGCACTCCAGAGGCTGAGGCAGGAGGATCGCTGTGAGTTCGAGACCAGCCTGGGCTACACAGTGAGTTCCAGGTCAGTCTCAACTACATAGTGAGACCCTGTCTCAAAAACCAAACAAACAAACAAACAAAACAAAAACAGTCGACTATGTTTGCGTTCACACTCAATTATTCATTCATCTGACCACCAGGAAAGCCCTCAATGTGTAAGTTTAACACAGTTTCAACTGAAGGAAGAGTTCATAGCAGCAAATCCTGGTCTAATGATCAGAAAGCTCACCTGCCCTGACCTGCGGCCCGTCCTCCTGTGCAGACTCATTTTGAGCTCAGCACCCAGGCTACAGACGTTACCAGGGGTGGCACACTGTGTACTGCGCATGCGTACTAATAAAAATTCAAAAAGAGGGCCAGGGATGTAGCTCCGTTGTGTTACCACCTGCCTCGCAAGCGCAAGGTCTTGAGTTCCATCCCTGGTACCAAAGAAAAAAATTCAAAGAGAAAGCTGGGAATGGAGTGAGTCGAGTGCCCAACTTAGCATTTTGGGGGTCCTTCGTTCTGTTCCCAATACTAAAAATAAAAGTTCTCTCACAGTTTAAGTATTCGGATCTCTTGGACTCAAGGAAAGATATTCACTACTTTGAGTCAGAGAAATGTCCAGCTAGAATCGGCTTTGTAGGCAGGAGCTGTGCAGGAAGAGCTGCCACACAACGAACTGTCCTTACCAAACTCTTTTGTTTTCTTTGGTACCGGGGATCAAACTCTGGCCCTTGCACTTTCGAGGCAGATGGCGGAACCCCTGAGCCAAGTCCCCGGCCCTTACCAAGCTCTTTTTTGAGACCGGGTCTCCCTAGGTAGCCCGCTGGTCTTGAAGTCCTGGCAACCTTCCTGCATCAGCCTCTGAGTGCTGGGATTACAGGCATTTCGCCAACATCCCCGGCTTTTTTTTTTGGTATTTGAATTTAGGCTCAAAATTTAACAGATACTTTACCTCAGTTGTAGAAGGCAAGGGGTGCTGAATTTGAGGGTGCACCTCGGTTCTTCAGGGGAACAGCAACACAACAGCCAGCAAGTGTTCAGCTTTGCAAGAGAACAGACAGTGTTCTCACCAAGTCAGAACAGCACATTCAGACCCTGTCACCCTGAGCCCAGTGCTCCCCGGAACTAGGAAGACTTCCAGGTCGCTCGGTGGCAGGGACTAAACCCAGGGCCTCACACTGAGATATGTCCTGAAGCCCCCTGATCTTCTGAGATGTGGTGTTTTTTTTTTTTTTTTTTTTTTGTACTGGGGATCAAACTTGGGACCTTGCGCATGAAAGACAGGTGCCCCAACCACTGAGCTAAATCCCCGGCCCTTTTTTTGTTTTTTTGAGACACGGTCTCACTATGTAGTTGAGACTGACCTGGAACTCACTATGTAGCCCAGGTTGGTCTCAAACTCACAGCGATCCTCCTGCCTCAGCCTCCCAAGGGCTGGGATTATAGGTGTGCACCACCATGCCCGGCTTAGAGGTGGTCTCGTTAAACTGTCTATCCTGGCTTCTAATTCATGATCCTCCTGCCTCAACCTTTTGAGTAGATGGGAATTACAGGCCTGCACCACCGCACCTGCCTTCTGTTACTATGATTTTCACATATAAACTGGGTCCCAAAATATGTGATGCCATTGTGGAAGAGGCCTTTATTAAATCCTACCCTGCCACTCATGTGAATAAAGATATTCACGCAATTACCACATTCATAAATGCTCTTCTGAACCAACTTCATGGCTTAGCCCGAAGGCCAAATAATATTAAATACAGGTAGAAGTTCAGTCAACTCTACACAGTACCACTTTTAATCTATATTAACTAGTGTGGCTTCTTAGGAAACTAGTTATGTTTTACTTCATCTAACACTCTAAACTTCAAAAAATATGACTATGAAAGGCAAAAATTTCAAATAAAATTTAAGTTTCAGACTTTAAAAATTTTTTCTAAAAGACTTAAACAAATTTTTTGGACAGGATCTTGTTATACAGTTCAGTTTAGTCTTGAATTCATTATGTAGCCCAGGCTGGCTTTGAACTCATGCAGATCCTCCTGCCTCAGCCTCCTGAACACTGGTATTATAACTGAGCATATCCATTTAGGCCTCTAAGAAATGGGTAGCACAGAACAGAGAAGAATGCAATTTAATCCGCTACCACTCCTCAACCCAGTCAGAACACATTCTCGTAGCCCACATACATGGTGTTCAGAGGGGTCTACCTGAATGTTTATGATCCCCCAGGGCATCTCACACAAAGGAACATTCAGAGAAAACAAAAACAATTTTTAGGCAAGCTTCACTATGCTGCCCAGGCTGTCCTCAATCTCACGGGGGCTCAAGCAATTCTCTTGCCTCCCTGGTAGCTGGGATGACAGGTACATCCTGCCACGCCCAGCTTTTAAATTTAGAGGAAATTCACTGCTTGCTCTTGAGCCGAATCGATTGAGTCAAGCCCAGGGTTAGTAACCGAATTCCTCCGGGTTAAACAGTGGCCTTCTGGGAAGAGAATGAAACAACAAAATCTAAGAATGGGAATCCCAGACAGGTGTGGTGCTGCGTGGCTGTCATCCTGACAACTCAGGAGGCTGAGGCAGGAGGGCTAATTAGCTCAGGAGTTCCAGGCCAGCTCAGGCAACACAGTGAGACCCTATCTCAAGATAAAAAATGCAAAATAAAATAAAGGCTGGGATGTGGTTCAGTTTTAAGGCCCTGGGTTCAATCCCTAGTATAAACAAATTATATATATATATATATAAAATTCTAACTGAATTCTAACTGAAATGTGACATCAAGTCTGTCAAGAAATGACAGCAAACACATCACGATAATCCAACAAGAAATGGCACACATTTCTGATTTTTCTCAGGTGTTGCATGCGCGCACACACACATACAATACACACACACACAGAGGTGAACACGCCACTGCACTGTAGCCACTCACCGTGTGAAATAAGCAACGTTCCTTTTATAGCCAAGGCGTTATCTGAATCTGTGTGTCCACGGCTAATATTTACTGTGCCTGTTTTTAAGGGGCCTTCAATGTCCCTCAAAGTTCATCTGGCAACAGGGCCATCCCCAGGGAGTAGGAGGACGATGTACCCTGCGGGGGACAGACGCAGATGATTAAAAGGAACTGAGGCACGGTATAAAAGTCACCGTAGTTGACTCCTCACAGAGGAGCCTACCCCTCCGTATGGAACTGGGCAGCCACGGGTTAACTGGGCAACTACGTGCTCTGTGGAAAGCACCTTAGCAGCCACCACAACTTCGGTAATCTGTCACCAAAGGAACACAATGGACTCCGAAAATCCTGCCAGAACTCCTAGCTCTCCCCCTTTGCTGCTCTGCTTTGTGGCATCCTGCTTGTATTCCCCGGGAAACGCCAATGGAATGAGGCGTTGTAGATGTAAAAAGAGGTACGCGAGGCAGTGCAAGCTTCCGCTTGGAGCTCTCAAGACTGACAGGAGTCACTCTGAGCCGCGGCACCATTAAAAGCGCGTTGTGCTCCTATGTTCAGGTAAAGAGTCGTCTGTCCGGGGATTTCACTGTTCCTTGCTTCACCAACCAGGAACTATCGGTTCAAAGTGAAACACGCTTGCATCCACATGCACAGCACACAGAACCCTCCATGTGGCACACAAAACACACTTCCTATTTCTACATGCAAAAGAGCACTTGTATTCCAGCGAAGAACTTGGGCGCCTTACTTGATGTCCATTTTAAATTGTTTGCTTTAAATGTACCAATAAACTTAATGAAAAAAAACGTTGGAAGTTTAAATGTGGACAAAGAAAGGGACAAGACCAAATTAAAGCTTGAAACGTTAAAGAAAAAATAAAAAAGAGGCACTGCAGGGCCAGGCGTACAGCTCAGAGCTAGAGCACTTGCAGAGCATGCAGAGGCCCTGGGTCTGAGCTCCAGCACCACAAAGACGGGGGAAAAAAAGCCATCAAGGGCTGGGGATGTCGCTCAGTGGTGCCACTGCCTCACAAGGGCAAGGTCCTGTATAAAAACAGCATCAGCAGTCACTAGGAACGTGCGAATCAGAGTCACAATGAGACGCTGCGCACAGCCACCAGGCAGCGCAGCGGCAGTGTAAGACTGTGACAGCGGAAGCTGGGGCCCCACAGAGGTCCAGGCGGTGCACTGGGATGTGGTTCCCCGGTTTTGTGGGTGGTGTTTTGGGGGGTTTGTTGTTTTCCCACATTTCTTGTACTGCGTACTGGTTATAAAGACTTGCGGGTGTCACCGCGGGAGAGCTGTACACGCGAATAAGGTACTTGAATTATCCCCTTCTCCCCTATTTTCATGTATTTTGGGGGGATTTAACGTGTATTATGTACTTTGATCAGACTCATTTTTTTTGAGGCAGAGTCTCGCTCTGCAGTCCATGTTGGCCTTGGACTCACTACGTAGCCCAGGCTGACCTTGGATTTGTGATGTCCTGCGGCAGCCTCCCAAGTACTGGACTTCCAGGTATGGGACACCACCCCTGACTACCACCTCTACTTACAGTAGCCAAGTGGAAACAACACAAAGATGGATGGATTAGCTAACACATCCAAGATGTAGCATCTATCTATACACGATGGAATACTACTCAGTGATGAAAAGGAGCAGGACCCGTACGCAGTCTATCAAAGGTTACACCCAGTGAAGGAAATCAGACACTCAGAAACCACACACTGTATGAGACCACTTATAAAACATTCTACTAGGATGACTCAAAAGGGCAAAAACCAGTGACAGAAAGCAGACTTGTGGCTGCCAGGAGCTGGTGTGGGCTTAGGGACTGACGGAAAGGAACGAGAGGGAACTGTGTGGGGCTGACACACTCCACACTCCGCTGTGGAGACGGCGATGGGGTGTGCACTTACCAAGGAGCTGTCTTCGTACCGTGGGTGAACTGCCAACCAGAGACAAAAATAGGATGGCTCAATCTAGTATTTTCTAGAGACTTTTATTATTAAAAAGGTAGATAGGGCCGGGGATCTAGCTCAGCAGTTCGGTGGCCTGCCTTGCAAGTGCAAGGACCCGAGTTCAATCCCCGGTACCCCCCCCCAAAAAGGTAGGTAGCCTGGCAGGGTAGTAGGTTCCTGTAGTTTGAGCTACCTGGGAAGCTGGTACAGGAAGATCTCTAGTCTGAGGCCAGCTGTGGCAATGCAGGGAGAAGCCTGTCTCAAAGCCAGAAAGAGGGGGCCGGGACTCTGGCGCAGTGGCACTGCACCTGCCTGGCAAGTGCAAGGTCCTGAGCTCCAGCCCTGATGCCAAAAACAAGACAGGAAAAAAAAAACGTGGGCAATCCCTCCTGCCTTTTGCTTTTGTGTTTTCTTTTTTGTTTTTAAACTCTCCAGTGACCTCAGAATGAATAACAACACTACGGTGAGGAACAGTGGATCGTGATTCTACGTTATGATGTTACAGTCATACGATGTTAATAAATAAGCCGAGACAGGAGGATCCCAAGTTCAAGCTCAGCCTGGGCTACACAGCATGACCTTGTCTCATGGCTTCCTCTCAAAAAAGATGTTAATAGGAAAAACTGCATTGCAGTTTATGGAAACTCCTTGTACTGCTTTCACAATTTCCTCTTTTGTAAATCTAAAACTATTCCAAAAATATGGCAGGTGTGACGGTGCACATCTGTAATCCCTGCACTCAGGAGGCTGAGGCAGGAGGATGGAGACTTCTCAGCCAGCCTGGGCTACAGAGGGAGACCAGGGGGCATGTGTGAGCCTGTGTGTCTGTGCGTATGGTGAAGAGATACAGTTTATTTTAAAACAGCTAATTACTGGCAACGAGAACTACATTATTTATGTGTATATGTCTACAGAAAAAGGAAGCTATAAAAACTTGGAAATCTATCTCTAGAACATTAGGTTCTGGGCCAGGGATTTAGCTCAGTGGTTCCACTGCCTGCCTTGCAAGCTCAAGGTTCTGAGTTCGATCCCCGGTATCCCCACTCCCCAAAAAAAAAAACAACACAGAACATTGGCTCCTAATCTGCTTTCACAGCTAAAAGTAGAAAACACTCTTGTTGCCCAAAGGAAATGGAAACATTACTGAGTGCTGGAATTACAGGTATGCACCACCACACATGGCTTTTACTGGATCTTTTCTGTTTTGTTTTGCTGCACTAGGGATTGAACCCAAGGCCTCTGCACTGAGCACATCTGGGACCCGCAACCTCTCCCTTTGCTGAAGCGCTGAGGGAGTCACTGCTCCGAGCTCCCGGTCCCTGCGCACACAGAAAAAGCAGTGCTTGGCCGGTCCTGGGCTCTGTCGGCACAAAGCCCATCACCATCCGATGAAAACAGGCCTCTAGCCAGGCATAATCTCAGCATTCCAGATGCTGAGGCAGGAGGGGCCTCATGAATTCCAGGCCAGCCTAGGCCACATATTGAGACTGCCTCAAAAAAAAAAAAAAAAAAAAAAAAAAAAAAAAAAAAA